TAATTGATAAAGTTCAAAATGCACTTTCTTCCCCCTAAAAAAAAATTGCAGTAATTGTAAAATAATTTTAATTACTTCTAATTAGCGTCTAAGGAAAATGTAACCGAGAAATTAAAAACTTTAATCGGATTTCCCTAAAGCATTCGAGTATTATACACCGACCCTAGATTTATCGTCATGACGCGTCACTTTCGCCGAGTGAAGGGCACTCGAAAACGATATACTTGCTTAGTTCTACACTGGTTTATTGAAATTCACGTCATCGAAAATGATACTCAATAATTCTCCTCGTTATTGTTATTTTTCTCTCTTTCTCTTAAAAAAAAAAATAAAAAAAAAAATTGAAAACAATACTCAATTTTCCGAGAGAGAAAAAAAAGAAAAGAGATATTTTACAATTAATAAAAAGTCAAGCAGAAAAAAAATAATTACCAACTATAAATTTCGTCTGCCCCCCCCCCCCCCCCCTTAGTGTCTATATTTGATTTCATAAGTTTTCTTGCGCAGAATCGCGGTCAATTTTACTTTCTAAATTGACTGTACACAGTCGACTAATTTTGCCGATTAGAATTTTAGCGTCAGGTACAGTCATTGGGAAAAATTTCTCCAACACAATTAACTTTTACCACGTTCCGAATTTTTCTCAAGCGCCGCCTCTCTTTCTCTGTCTCTCTTTTTCTAATTTTCAATGTAACACTTGTTTTTCACTTTTCGCGATAAAACATATATGTATATCTATATCTATAGTCAAAGTAGGTGTGTCGCAAAAGCTCAGAGAAGCTGCAAAAGTAAATTCCATTACGTCAACTTTCGTTGAATGCCATCATAGGAGCACGGAGTGTAAAAAAGAACCAAAAGAGCGAAATTTAAACTGACGCTTATATTTTTTCTTTTTCTTTCACTCTCTCCCTCCATTTCTCTCGAGGTAAATTAAAATTATACAAACGTAAAAATTCAATTCTTATTTTGTTAATTAAACTTTTTCGTTTATTCTTTTTTTTTTATTATCAATAATAGGAAAAAAAACTGTTCGTCAAACAATATACTTGAAAAAAAGTTTATTTTAACAACTGTTATATTAATTAGAGAGATAATTTACGAATATTTTTTTTATTGTTTTTTTTTACTACTTTACTATTTTTTACTACTGCAATGTCATAATTTTTATTTTAAATTATTAGTTTCTTTTTTTTTTGTAAACTTTTAAGAAAAAATTTCACAATTTTAATTGCAATGTTTATACATATTAAATAAAAGCGAAGAAAAAAATATATTTAAATAATAATTTTACGTTTCGTAATCAACCTCGCGTTACGTAGGTGCAACATTATTTCTCAATAATATTTTATATTATCTTTTATTAATATTAAATTGAGTTTATTAATATAAAAATACTGTTTTTATTGTCATCGTCATTATTATTATTATTAATATTATTATAACTTTTATTTTTATTACTATTTTGTCAATTTTTAAGACAAATAAAATTTTTTTTAAATATTTTGTTATTTTTATTAATTTTATTGATTGTTATATTTTTTTTTCGTTATTTATTATAAATATTATTATTACTCTTTTTATTAATAATGCGTTCAGTTGTTTATATTGTAGAGAATTATTAATTTATATTAAATTAGATCAATTTAATAAGCAATAAATAATTAAAATAAAAAAACGTGAGCTTAGGCTAGTGCTTAGTGTCCAAGTCTACAGTGCTAAAGATTGCGAGTTCGATTCCCAGGGGAGGCAGATTTTTTAATTTCATGTTAATAAATAAATTTAATTCGATATTTGAATATTAAATAATAAATAACATGGAATTTTAGTAAAAAATTATGTCAATGAAAAAAATAACGAGTAATTTAATTTATATGTTAATAAATAACACGGAATTTTAGTAAAAAATTATGTCAATGAAATAAATAACGAGTAAATTAAATAGAAGTGAATACAAACATAAATAACGAATAATTTAAATAATAAAAATACCAAATAGTTAAAATAAAAAAAAAACAGAAACAATTAAAATAAAAAACAGCAAAGGAATTTTAATAAAAAAATAAAAAAAGTATTGCAAGAAACTAACTAGAAATTTAAAAAAATAACTAGAAATATAAAAAAATAACTAAGAATTTTAAAAAATGGCAAGGAATTTAAAAAAAATAGCAAGGAATTTACAAAAAATAACAAGGAATTTAAATAAAATATAATTGAAACAATAAAGAAAAAAATAATTGAAAAATAAATAAATAACTAAGAATTAAAAAAAAATAATTGAAAAAATAAAGAACAAATTATTTAAATACAAAAATACGAAATAAATATAGAAATAATAAAATAAACAATTTAAATACAAAACCAGTAAATAAATTAAAATATAAAAATACCGAATAATTTAAATACCTAAATAACAAGTACCTAAATAACAAGAAATTCAAGTAAAAAAAAACAATCAATTAAAATAATAAAAATAAAATAAAAATTGAAATTTCCAATAATTAAATTACTCGAAACAGAAAAAAAATCGACAAAAAAACAAAAGAAATACAAAACGTATTATTTTATATTTATATTATTAACAGAAATTTCTACATATTGGGTGACGATTATTTTGATTGCAACGTAAAATATCAATACAAACGAAAAATCTCGAGTCGATTTAAACACACACACACACACAAATATATATTTATATGTGAAATTGATACATACACACAAATACAAGCGCACATTTACAAAACGCGGCACAAGGATAAACACGCGCGAACGATTATTGGATAAGTTAAAGAAAAAAAAAAAAAGAAAAAAAAAGTTCGTTGTCGGAATAATAAGATGCGAGGTGCATGTGCGAGATAGAAATCTATGTGAGAGTTTTCATGTATATGTGTGTTGTGTCTGTGTGAGCGCGCCCGATGCTTTCTATACGTGTGCTCCACTACCTATGTGTCTGTCAAGCGTCCCCCTCATATCCCCCCTCTCTCCCTTCTCCTCGCCAACCCTCCTTTTCAATATAACACGTACACTCACGAATACAGAGAGAAAGAGAGAGAGAGAGAGAGAGAGAGAGAGAGAGAGAGAGAGAGAGAAAAGCCTCCAACCTCAGATTATAATTACAAATATAAGCAGAGCTCACAATTTTATTGAAAAGAAACAAAATTCTTCTGGAGGTCGATGTGCGTAGGAAGAAAAGAGAATTATTTTTTAAAAAAAATAATTTTCTCCCTCTTTTTTTAATTAATTTTTATTATTTTTTTTCGAGCTTTCTATTTTCGGAATAATATTTTTATATTATTCTGTCCTATTTATCCCCTTTTTGGAAAAAAGTAAAAATTATTCAATTTTCACTTTTAGAAACCTTTTTTTTTAATTAAAAATATTTTAATTAGAATTTAAAAATAAAAAGAGAACACGAAAAAAAAAGAAAATAAATATAGTTGACGGAAAAAGGAAGTTGTATGAATTGGGAAGAAAAAAAATTTTATAATTATTATTATTTTGCGCAATGCGATAAACAGTGTCGCGCATTATCACAAGATATAAAATATAATTATTTACAGTGACTCACTCGACCCCGCATCGCGCGATTATCGATTTAATTTTCAAATGTATACTTTCAATTTAAACAGGGCGAGGCACCCTGTATGTGTGTGTTTGTGTATATTAATGTCAATAGTATCGAGTTTTTTTCGTTAAATTTATAAATTTTTCGAAATAAAAAAAAAAAGGAAAAAAAAAATTAATTATTTAATAATTTGTAAATTTATAAATTTATAATAGAAAAATAATTTTTTGTAAATAGTAAATTTTTAGAGAAACAGCAAAAATATAACAATTTACATTTGAAAATCCATTTCTGGAAATTTCTTTGTGAAAATAAATTGAAATTGAATTTAAAGTGCGCTCGGGAAGTATCCCCCTCTTGCCCCCCGCCCTCCTCTCTCTTTCTCTCTCTCCCCAGTTCTCCTCCCTTCTCTACATCCCATGTATCGCCACCAACACCGGTCCAAACGCACGTCAACCTTTATTCACACGTACATATTTCTTTTTTCAATTTCAAAATATAATTCCAGATTTTATTCTTTTCTTTTAAAAACAATAATTTCTAACAAAATTTTAATTTCAAACTTTTAATTCTTTTTTATTAAAAATTATTAAAAATATTTTAATTGATTAATAAATAATAAAGAGAGAGAGAGAGAGGGATAAAAAATGCCAGAGCCCTAAAACTATAGGTGTTAAATCGGGTTAAGGAACATCTATAAATACTTGACAAAGTGCGAGAAAGAAAAAGATGGAATGAGCAAAAAGCAAGAAGTGGGGGGGAGGGAATGGATAGAGAGAGAATTTGGAATGATGGTAGGGGGGGGCATAGAAGTTGAGGGAGATGAGGGTCGAAACGAGACGGCGGGACGTTGTAGCGTATACGTGAAACAGAGACAAGCATACACAAGGTTTATAAGCGAGAGGAAAAGAGGGGGGGGGGCAAAGAGGGAGACAACAGGGGGGATAGTAGGGGGAAAATCCAGGAAGGGGCAAAGGAAGAAAGAGTAACCAGTTTATCTAATAGCATCTCTCGTTGAAGATATATACAATACCTATAAGTATACGATCAACCTCCCACTAACACCCTCCCCTCTCTCTCTCCCCACCTTTTCCCTCATATTCGACCACTCGTGATACTGTCAATTCTTGATTGAAAAAATTTAATTTTCTATTAAAAACAAAAACAAATTGTTTCAAACATTTTTTTCTCTCTGGAAGATTTCTTTTACTTAAATATATTTAATAAATTTTAAATTAAAAAAATTGTTTTCTTTATAATTAATATCCCTAAATTTTATTTCGTGGGAAAAAAATTTTTTTCTGAGAAAAATATTGTTACGCTCGAAGAGAAAAAAATTGATTAAAAAAATTGAATAATATTGAATTTATATTTAATTTACGGTAAAAAAAATTTTTGGCGGAATTTTTAGGCTTAAAAAATAATTTTTGGAACTCACCTCTATTTTATCCATTTTGTGATTTCCAAATGTCACTCACTTTATTCACGTTCATCTAGTATTTTATTTTTTTTTCCTCTATTTTTTTTTTCAATTCACATTCAAATTATAACACAAAAAATAAAAAAAACCACACTGAAATTAAAACACAATTAAATTGGAAACGAATTTTTTTTTTTGGCACACACATAGAAAGAGTAACACATACACACACATACACGGAAATTTGTGCATGCGTGTTTGGTTGGAGAGCGTTTTTTAAATGAAAAATTTGAAAGGCGCACGGACAAGCGACTCTCGGTGTGGCGCACGCCGCTGTCCCATCGAGACTACTTTGTATTTACTCTAATTATGTGACGTCACGAATACACTGCGCCCCCACCATGTTGAATTTCGAGTCACGAAATTGCACGAGAATAGACGAGTTGGACCGAAAGAGAGGGTGGGAGAGAGAGAGAGGTGAGTGTTTTTGAAGGGGAGGGGGTAAAGAAGAAGAGAAGTGTGAGAGAAGGAGAAGTTTGGGACAATGCGCGCAGGCAGATCACTTGTCGTCTTCATTCTGTTTCATTCGCTTCAATTCCTCTCTAGATCACGGATATAAAAATTTATTATATTATTAATAATAATATATAGATATAGAATCAAGGAAATTTTGAACGTAAATTTTAGCGTTTGAATTCCGGGAAAAAAACAGTTTTTTTAGAGTAGTTGCGTTAGTGTTTTTTTTCTGGATGAATTCAAGTTTCTATTGTGTTATTTTTTTTTCGAGTGACAGTGTAAAGAATGATTGACAACTGTAATTGTTAAACTGTATTTTTTACGCTTTTACCGAATTCAATTGTTTTTCTTTTTAACTTTGATTTTAATTAAATGGACGAAAAAGAGAAATCTGGGAGTTTTTGACGGAGTTGTGTAATTTTTGGGGTTAAAAATCAACTCCAAATGTGAGTTAATTTAACACTTGAAATTTGTTTAAATTATTTGATTTGATAAAAAATAATTTTAAATATAAATTCAATTATTAGCAATTAGGAGTTAAATTTTAATTATTTAGTGTCAATTCTAAAGAAGTTGATCTGGTGTTAAATTTTACTCCATTGGAGTTGAAAAAGAATGCAGTGTTAAAAATTAATTAATTTTTTTTAATTTTTAATTTATTTTTTATTGGTGTTAAATTTTAATTATTTGGTGTTAATTTGTTTCCTTCGATGTGAATAAAAACGTCATTTTTAATTTCCATTGGGGTTAAATTTTAATCTCTTTATTTCATTTAAATAAACACATGAAGTGAATTATTAATTTTTTTCTTAGTTAAATTTATTTTTGAAAATTTTAATTTGACATGGAGTTAAACTAAAAGTGTTAAATTTTACTCCCTTCGTTTAGAAACCAACAGTGAATTCTTAATTTTCAAAAGGGTTAAATTTTTATTTCTTTATTCAATTTAAATACAAAAACTTTTTAAAAATTAAAAAATATAGTAACAATAGGGTTAAGTTTTAAATTCTTTATTCCATTTAAATAAATAAAATGAAGTGAACTAATTTTTTCTGAGTAAAATTTTAAATTGAAATTATTTTAAAATGTAACTTGATATGGACTTAAACTAAAAGTGTTAAATTTTACTCCCTTCGATATGAAAAAAACAGTGAATTCTTAATTTTCAAAATGGTTAAATTTTTGTTTCTTTATTCAATTTAAATAAAGAAAGGGAAGTGAAGTGTTTACTTTTTGAGTTAAATTGAAAAAATTTGGTATCAGTGGGGTTAAATCTTAAATTCTTGGTGATAACTATAAGCGGGGTTAATATCTACAGGTGGTAATTGTAACTCATTTTTTATTTTTAAGTAAAAAAAAGGGAGTGAATAATTATTTACTTTTTTGAGTTAAATTAAAAAAAAATTAGTATCAGCGGGGTTAAATTTTAAATTCTTTATTTCATTTAAATAAAAAAATGAAGTGAATTGTTTATTTTTTTCTGAATTAAATTTAAGGTTTAACTTTTATTTTAAATTTAATATGAAACAAAAAAAGATTCGTAATTTTCAATGGGGTTAAATTTTAATTTCTATATTCCATTTAAATAAAAAAAATGAAGTGAATTTTTTCTTATTTAAATTTAAATTAAATTTTTAATTTGATATGGAGTTAAACTAAAAGTGTTAAATTTTACTCCCCCAATATAAAAAAAAAAACAGTGAATTCTGAATTTCCAATAGGGTTAAATTTTAATTTTTTTATTCAATTTAAATAAAAAAACGGAAGTGAAGTGTTAACTTTTTTAAAAATTAAAAAAATATAGTATCAGTGGGGTTAAATTTTAAATTCATGGTGATAACTTTAAGCGGGGTTAATATTTACAGGTGTTAATTGTTTTTTTTTATTTTTAATTTTTAAGTAAAAGAAAGGGAGTGAATAATTATTAACTTTTTTTTATTGAAATTAAAAAAATAGATTGTCAGCGGGGTTAAATTTTAAATTCCTGGTGTTAACTTTAACCAAACCTAATAAAAAACTAATTTTTTTCTAATTCTACAATCTTTTGTAAATAAAATGCAAAATTAAAAGTAATAATAAAAATTTCGTCCTTTATTCGATTTTTCAAAACTATAAGGAATTTAGTTTATTTAAATTTAAATTTTTGACAATTTTCAATAAAACTAGTGCTCTGCAAAAAAAATACAAATGTAGAAAATGATTTTTTTTTTATTAAATCGAATACGTGACTCATAAAAAAAAATATTAATGTGATCACATAAAAAGGGGAAATAAAAAAAATCAAATGTGGATGAAATTCACATTAATATTTATTAGTAAAAAAATATAAAAAATATATTAATCCTACTAAAAAATTAAATTTTACTCTAAAGAAATTTATGATTTTTTGTTTCTTTCAAATATTATAATTTATTAATTCTCTTTTTTCTTAAAAAAAATATATATATTGAATTTTACTAAAAATATATAAAGTAAAAATTACATCCAAATTTCAATTTTTATGTCATTTTTTTCTCTTACTATATAATATAAATCAATGAAACGAAAAATTTATATATATATATATATTTCTCCAATTTATTACCCATTTGTTTGCATCCAGTTTTATAAAGTCGCATTAATCCCAAATTCTCCCGATGACATAATTATTATATCACTTTTTTTATTTTATTTTAAAGTGTATTCGTTAAATAAAAATACGTCTAAAATTTTCGAGTTTTTTTTTTTTTTTTTGTTTATATGGAAATTTTCTTCATTTAGTTGTAACTTTTTTTTACTATCACTTTTTTCAATCTAATTAAGTGAAAAAATTCACTTATTCAGATTATTATCAATTAAAAATTTATATTTTGTATACGATTTCTAACCAATACACCTTAAATCTTATAATATAAGATCAATTTCGTGGCACAAGTTCGTCGACTCCATTCCCATTGTTTTTAAATCGAATTTCTTTTTTTTTCGGAAATATTTTTTAATATTCTGTCGCAGAGAAATTTTGTTGCATTTAACAGCATGTGCTTTCAAGAAAATTTGAGAAAAGAAGTCAGTACAGAAAAAAAAAAATTTTTTTTTTTTAATAGTTATTATAAAGAATGGTTTTTTAGGCCCGACTGAGAAAAATAGTCGTGATTCTATATTTATTATTAAGATTAAGCTAAAAGCTTGTGGAATTACAATGTTTTGAGGTTTCTTCGTTGTCGTTCTCATTTCAATTGATCATTCTCTTCTCTCATTTAATTTATTTTTCTTTTTTGCTTTTTTTTAATTAATGCAACTGTACGATGGAAGATTTTCTTTACAAGTCTTTTTTTTCAATAATTCAAACAGTCAAAAATTTCAACTAATTTAATTTATAATATAATTTCATTTCGGTAAAGTTTTTTTTTGTCTTTCTCAATTTTTTTTTCTTTTTACTTTGTGCGTCAATAAAATTATTATAATTGAAAAATGAATTTTTCAAAAAAGTATGTATTTTTCTATTGATAGAAAATTATTTTCTTTTTTGAAAAAATTTTACTTTAAAAAAAAGAAAAAAATTTTTTTTTTTTTCTAGAAAAACCATAAAATTGTTTCTGTCACTTCTTCTGTTTCTTTGTAAAAAAAAGAAAGGCTAATTTATTTTTTCTTTTTTGTAAAATTCCAGTATGAGAATCTTTATAAAAATGCAATTTACATAATTTTATTTGTTCTCTAACATTATTATTTTTTTTCACGACTTATCTATTAGATCTCCTGAAAAATTACTGTCACACTTTCATGCTTTCACTATAGAGTTAAAAAGAAAACAAAACATCCATGTACAAAATTCTTTTGAACATTCCTTACAAACGATTCGCATACATTTTTTTTTCATTTTTTTTTTCTCTTTTTCAGGATTGATTGAGTTTGACAAAATATGGATGACGTGAGATATTTAATTGACCTAAAACAGGCGGAGATCTTGGTGGACTACCCTCTTAACTTGAATCAGTAAAAATAATCTCAAAAAACTTTTTTTTAATAAATTAATATTTTAATTAATATTTTAATGAATATTTTAATTAATAATTTAATGAATATTTTAATTATTAATTTAAAATATTTAAACTCCATTCAAAATCATTTATTTCATTCAATAGAAAATATTATAGTAATTTTTTTATATCTAAATTAAACTAAACTTAATAATGTTTAAATTAGATCGACGAATTAATTTGTAAATTTACCTCATTTTAAATTAATTGTTATTTTTTTCTACTTTTTGATTTTTTAAATATTTAATTTCAATTGAATAATTAATTTTTCAATTAAGTAAGTAATTAACTATTTAATTATTTGAATAATTAGTTACTCAATTAATTCAGCAATTTATTCAATTAATTAAAGAATTACTTTCTTAATTAATCATTTAACAAAAAAATTATTTATTCAATTAAATATTAAATCAAGTAACTACCTATTTAATTGTTCAATTAATTGAATAATTCATTAATCAATTCGGTAAATAATTAACGTTTTAATTAATTGAATAATTTATTACCCAATGAATTAAAATATTACTAATTCGAATTAATTATTTAAACAAATATTTATTTGATTACTCAATTAATTCATTATTACTTATTCCATTAATTTAAGAATATTTATTCAATGAACTAATTACTTATTTAATTAATGAATTAATAAAAAAAAATAATTATTCAATTAATTGAATACCAAATAATTCACTTAAATAAACAATTAACAACTTAATTAATTCCTTAATCCATAATTCAATTAAATAAATAATTAATTATTCAGCTGATTAAGTAATTATTTATTCCATTATTTAAATAATTACTTATCTAATTAATTATTTAATCAAATAATTAATTACTTACTTTAGTAAATAATTATCTATTGAACTATCAGAATAATTAATTACTCAATTGATTAAACAATTATTTATTCAAATAAATTATAACGTATTCTAATAATTA